AAGAAAGGAAGAAAGGAAAGAAGAAGAAAGGGAACCAACCAACCATACCCAGTTTGAAAAGAGAAATGAAAGACAGGCAGGAATAAAACTCTCTCATCTGTACCACTCCAGATGCGGGAAATGGGGAAATGTACAATTCAGAGATGTGTTGGTGCTGCTGGAGAGGGTGGAACTGTGTTGGTGTAAGTTTTGCCAGATTCAGGGTGCCTAACTCTGGCACCCATGGAGGAGAAGCCAGTACTGCTCTCCCAGTCTCCACCTCCTTCTTTTTTTTTGTTTTGTTTTGGTTTTGTTTTTTGAGGAATTGCTTGTTTCCCTCCTGGCCTTTTTGCTCCAAAACAAAAAAGGTGGCAGGGTTGTACAGTAGAAGGCAAGAAGTAGGGCTGTGGGAACTGTGTTTAGCTTATTTCCTACAGCAATGTGAGGGATAGGTAGGACGTTTCCTCCACTGCCCCTTTTGTGATGGTCTTCACCTTGGTGGGGACACCACATGGCAGCTGCCAATACCAGGGGATGCTCTTTGGTGGCTTAATCCATGATGAAGGACATGCACATGCATCTGCTGTTCATGTCCTTGAGGCTGAGCATGAGCTTGGGTGTTTTGTCAGCCCATCAACCTGCCCTGAAGGGAGGTGGACAGGCTGACTAATTTTTAAGACATTTCTTCTCTTGGGTTTTGTTTTGGAGCTGAAAATCTTTTTGGGTTGAACCCTGAGTCTTGCTCACATGGGTTGCTCCCTCTTTTGCTGGATGGGATCAACCACAAAGACAGGCTGTTGTGGGCTGTCAGTATAGGGTGCTTCAGGGATCAGGGTAGGGCACATCCACATGATTTTTGGAAGCTGTGAACCCAACAAGCCAGCTCTTACTTGGGAGCCCAGAAGCAGCATGAGCTTGTCACTGGCCCATTTTCTTCCCAGAATTTACTAGTTTATGTGCTTTGCACAGGTACATGACCTCCATCCACATCAGATCTGGCTCAGAACATGCACAGGACTCTGCAAAACATCCTACAGACCTACATGCAGTGCCTAGTATCAGAGCAGGCAGGAACATCGCTGCCAAAGGACAGCAGGTTGGCTACTCTTTGGTGGTGTCTGGAAGTACCAGAACTTGAGTTTTTACAGCTCTGTCCTATCTGGGAGAGGGATCAGGAAACTTTACAGATCATTTCCTAACTTTTATGGCTTTGTTTTCAGTCTCCCTGCAAAAAGGACACTCCCATGAACACCAACACAGCATTATTAGTGGTCTTAGTGGTCATTGAGCTTACTTTTAAGTGGCTATTGATTGGTCTTTTAATTAGTTAGTTCCAGTGACATAAGCCATTACTCCCTTGCAGAATAATGACTAAGTAGCTAAGGTAGCCCACAGCAACTTTCAGCCTTGAGACACAGAGAAAATTAGTTCTTGTGTCAATAGATTCATATCTTCCAGGAAGGATGGTGTAAATCCAGTGAGGACAATGGCTGAACCAAAGATAAAGTGGGTCTTGAGAGGCATTAAGTGCATGACCCTTAAAAAAATCACGGTCCATCCCCAGACCTATAAGCCACAAAGAACAGATAAGCAGAGAGACAGAGAGAGGCAGAGATAGGCAGCAAAAAGAAAGTAGATTGATTTGAGGAATTTGATGGAAAACTATACCAGAAAAAACATGAATGACACTGAATCACAAAGAACTGGCCAAAAGACCACTATAACACACAACTGTAACTGCTGTTGGGTGCATTTATGCAGAAAATTGTAAGCAGTAGGCACAGATGTGGGTACGTTTATATTCTAATTTGTTCTGGTTCGGGGCTTGAGGTTGCTAATATATTGAATTTCCGTAGCAGGTTTATATTGGTGCATGTAGGTATGAAAGGGTAGCTAATGAAATAACCACAGTGAATAATGCATTCATTTAATCTAGCTGTTTCTGCTTCCTAAATATCCACAAGCAGCTCACAGACTCGTCTGGTGTGTTCAGCAGAGCCTGGACTTTGCTACCCTTTACTGAAAAGTGCTTTATACCATGGACAGCCCAAAGAGCAGGAGCATTGCTTCCAACATAAAACGCTCCCAGGTGAAGGTCAATACGAATCTGCTCCTATTTTAATGCAGTCATTATCTCTTTCCACTTACTTTCCTTTCTAGGTACTGACAATCCAGCTCTTACACCCCGCTAGGACACGCAGAGAATGTTTCACGCAAGGTACTGGGGCAAACTTTCTCAAGCCCTCTCTATAATCAACAGAGGGAGAAAAAGAAGTAAAGCTCCTCTCAGGGGCACGTTGGAAGAATGAAACAGGGCTCCCACCTCCCTCCAGTGGCTACAGAGGGAGCCTAGAGAGATTAAGCTCACCAGGCTAAAATTAGCCTTTGTGAATATATCCTATAGCCTCATCCTTCTTCCCTGGCTGCATGAGCACACAAATGCTTCTGGAATAAACCCTGGCTGAATAAATTTAAAATTCAGTTTAAAGGCTCCTGCGTCCAACATTAAAACTTTCACTATTAGGAGCACTCCCATCAACAAGGCTCAAACCCTGTCGGTACAGCTGACCCCAAGAGGAGGCAGAAATGGTAATGGGGAAACACTGCAAGCAGGTAGGTACCTGCTGGGATCCTCTTCCAGGGTTTTCTCCCTAGCTCGAGCACGTAGCACGTGCCCAGAAAGGATTTGGGGCATCCATGTGTGCTGCACCAGCTCTCCGTGTAACCACATCCACCTCTTTGTAGCCTAGTTTTATGACACATGCATAAAGCCACTGCCATTAGAAAGTCAATGGTTTCTGACAACAGTAATCAGAGTGATTTCCTCTGGTTACTATAGGACAAGACCTATCGTGTCTCGGGTGCTATTTTACAGGAGCTGTTAACACCAATTTATTGGTGCCAACAGATCTTCTGTACATGTGCTGGGCTCCTCTTAGTGTTCAACAGGTCCTTTTTCCCCCCTTCTTTTTCCCCCTTTGTTCTTTTTAGCAACACTGAACCATACTTCTTGCCTCTGCTAAAGGAAACACATTTCTTTAGACCAGCTCCTCAGATCCAAACATCTCCGAGGCTGTTACTCATTCGGATCATCTCCAGATCTACCCTCCAACACGGTTCCCAAGCCCAGGCCAGAAGCGGCTAGCTAAAGGGAAGGGGCACCGGAGCTCTCCAAAGCAAATCCGCAATCTCATTGGATGCACTTCAAAAGGAGAACAAAACCATTTAGCACAGAGAAGGCTCAAAAAGTGCTGCACACACACACACGGACACGAAAGAGGGGGGAAAAAGAGAAAAGAAAGAAAAAACAAAGAACATCAGAAAAACAACTTTTTTTTTTTTCTTGCTTTGCAGGTTTTGTTTTCAAAGCACAACTACGAATGTGATCAATAACCAGCTGAAAGGGATTAAATAAGGTCACTCTGTGTGCAGTTTAGCTTAGAGAGTGAGAGATGGATGGGCAGTAACTCGCTGCTCTGCTAATCCAATAAAGCGTTTATTTCAGTGTTGGCTTTGCAGCGTAATTATCTTTCTGGGGACTCTGCCTGCAGTTAGGGCATTTTCTTGAGTTCTCTCTTTGTTAAATAGGCCTCATGCAGAACAAAGCACTTCCTTGGTGGTTGTTCCTGTAAGCAAAGCACCAAGGTCACTTGACCGCATTCATCTCCAACCCAGCAGCAACAGACACCTCTTCTCATCCTCATCCAAACAGGCTCAAGTCTCCCCTTGTTATAACCCTATTAAGGCACCAATTTCCCCTCTTCACTACACCACTTGGGCCCGCCAACACTACCCCCAAAACATGAGCCTTCCCTCATTCCTCTCCTCCTCCTCTGGCTGGATAAGAGCTTGCTTCTGCCCTCTGTTTGATGCCATCATCAATTCAACATGAATTCCAGCAGAACCCCCCGCTCCATAGCACAATGACAGGAATACCGAACCCTGCCCATACTTTCTGCCTCCCAGATGCAATTTTAGGGCCCGTGGGTGTTGCAGCACCACAGTCGATGCTGCAGCTTATTGTTTCTGAAGCTCTAGGGTGCTACAGGCTGACCTATGCATTTGATTTGACTCAGGGTGTCAACATAACACTTGTCTTTTGCTTAGAGCATGGCATAACCCAGGGACAAAGTCTGAGCAGGCTGCAGACCCAAACAGGAACAGAGGAGAAGGGGGCTTTCACAGTCCCCGAGCCAGTGACCAAGCAGCTGTTGGCAAAAGGGGCTGGAGGTAAAGCCAGGGGAGAGCCCTGCGTGGCAGCTGCCATCCTCGCTGTGGAAGCAACTTTTCAATTTATACTAAGGCAAAACCCAGCTGCCACAAGTCCTGAGCTTCAGGATGGAGGCTGGGGTGGTGGCTGTGGAGAAGATAAAGAACCTCAGGTCATGTCAGATTTTTTTTCCTGCATTACCTGCCAGTCCTCCTCTATACACATCCATCCATCCATCCATCCATCCATCCATCCATCCATCCATCCATCCATCCATCCATCCATCCATCCATCCATCCATCCATCCATCCACTAATTTCTTCACCTGTACAGCCCCAAACACCTTTTCCTTCAAAACATCATGTCCCTTTGCCATCCCTCAGCCACCTGCCAGGCATTGGGTGTGACACCATGGGACATGCCATCCTCAGCAGTGTCACCTCCTTGCCCCAGCTGCTGTTTCTAGGCATCGGAGAGAGGAGCCATTTGCTTTCCTTAATCTTTGGGATCTACATCATCTAGGGCTGAAGCCTTTTTAACAAAGAGATGAACTTCTAACCCTCGTCACAGTTCTGCTTCTTGGGTCTTTTGTCTCCATGCTGAATGGCAAGGCAGAGAGATTAAACCAAGGATTTCTTTGTTTGTTTGTTTTGTTTTGTTTAAATCTGCTTTTGCTTGCTGTCTGCACCTCCACTCTTTGCATTCCTGACCTGGTTATTGATCACAACCTTGGTTGTTTTCTTTTTTTTTTTTTTTTTTTTTTTTATTGCTTGTTTTTCATTCTTTACTTAGATGTATTGATAAGGCATACCCTGCCCGTTCCTTCAGTTTCTTATCTGTTATTCCATCTTTGGATACAAGTTTGTTAAAAACCAGAATGCCAATAACCATGTTCACCTGTTGGAAGAAAAACAACACACAGATTTGTTCTCAAGTGGGTCAGGCCAAATGCAGTAGTACAGAAGGTATCTACAGGGCAAGCCGAGCCCATTAGTTTTTCCCAAAGCTGGGTGGCACTGTCGCACCTCTGCCCCCTTTCCACCCCATCCCACCTCCCTGCCATATGTCTGAGCTCAGGAGAGCAGAATGCAGCTGGCAGCAGATCAGAGAGGTCCCCATGGACCAGAAGAAGGCTGTAAAATGCTCAGATCATTGCAGGGCTTCTTGTAGCCCAATGCAAGCTCAAGATCTAGGCAGGCAAACCCATGGCACAAAAAGAATTCTTCAGGGTTGTACAAATAGAAAACCTCCAATGCAGGGGAGAGCAGTGGGGTGATACAGCCTAGTTTCAAGTGTTTTTTGGAGTCTGTGCTCCCAAAACAGCAGCTGTAATTATAATAAGGTGATGTGGTTTCTGCTCAGTGAACCACAACTGTTGCTCTCAGGTGGAGGGGTGCTGGAGCAAGTAGAAACATCAGCTGCTTGACACAGCTCGTGGATTAACCACCCAGCCGATTCCCAGAAATTAATGGGCGACTTCACGGAGCCCTTCCTCCTGCTTTATTAGGGTGAGAACACAGACGTCTGCATCAAGCGGGTGCAAATACTCGCAGGGAAATAGCTGTGCGGAGCTGACGTCTTGCAAAGCGGCGTTAAAGTCCCCAGTGCTCTGTTCTGACTGCACTCCCTGTTGCCAGCTGCATCCATTTTACAGCCCCCACCAAACCTCAGCAGCCCCTGAGCATCACCCCGTTAGTGACCCCTTAGTCCCTGGGGGCACAGCACTGATGGTGGAAAACAAGTGACACTCTCCTGGTTTTGCTGACAAGGAGCCACAGGGTGTTGGCAGAACAAAGCACTGCTGCTCTTCTGCGTGGGGAGGGCTTGCAATAAAAGGTTTTAGGACAAATTTAGAGATTTGCAGCATCACGTGTTGGCTGAGAGCCTTGGTGAGTGTAACAGGCCCTTGAGAGGTAGCCCTCAGGGACAGCTCACAGAAAACACAGCCCAAGGGAAGGGAGATGGCTGCTAAGCCTCCATCTAATTGCCAAAATCATCCTCAGTACTTAGCAATCTTTCTGAGCTCGGACTGCTGGTCTCAGCAGAGCATGACCCAGCTTTCTGATGGGGAGTCCGCAGCTGGGAGTGAACGGAAGAACTCCCACATAGCAATTATTTCCCTTTGTATCAGCTGCTGGTTGAGCAGACTACTTCCCACAGCTGCAAGTCCATTTCCAGAGCTCACCACGGTATTGTTTTAAAGAAACAAGGCTGGCGAGTCAGACACAGCAGCTCAGCCAAGGATCAGCAGGGAAACAACCTCTGGTTATATGCTGGAGGCTCCTGAGTGCATGAAGTCCCCTTCTTTAAGGTGCGAGAAAGCAGTAGAGAAGATGAGGTTAAGGTTTTGCAGGCTGGATGATTACTAGGGCTTGAAACACTTGAGGGTGTGTATCCTCAATCATTTACTGCAGGGGAAATGATGAAGTGTAGCTCTGTAATTGCAGCTGTGCAATTGCAACTGTTTTAATAAAAAAAAATATATAATAATTTATCCAACACGCTGATCATCGTGATCAATATCCCACTCTGATCCTGGCCCTGCTTCTTTTCAAAGACGGGGATACAGGCAGGGACATGCCTCTAAACACTTTCACTTCCAATAACATGCAGTATAACTTCATTTCCTGATCTCTAGAATGCCATACAGAAAAAAAAAGGCACAAAGCTGAGATTCATCCCTTGAGATATCAGTGCCTGATGAACTCCCTGTTCTCGCTTCACTGTGAGCCTCTCCCTGCAGACACCTGCTGATTTCATCCTGTGTGTGATGAAGTATCACCAGGGTGCTTCACCTGAGTCAGGGGTGTACAGCTGCATGCAACAGCTCTGCATTTAAACTTGCTGGGGTTTTTAAGGCTCAAGGTTAATATCTGGGATGTAGCAGAGAGAATAAATGCAGCTGGAGCTAAGTCAGCTGTGTGCAAAGTCACTTGGGTGTCCATGTATAAAAATTTTCAGAGTTTCAGGTGAGAAAGAGCTTCTTAGCTCCTTCAGAGCCAAATCCCACCTTGTTCTGTGCATCCCAACAGCAGCTGTATTATCTCTGAAGCAAACCTCACCTGAAAGCAACACAGCTGCATGTCCCTAACACAGCCCTGCAAGAGCCTTGCTGTCCTCGTGCTGAGCCAGGGGCACAGGCCCTCCATCACTGGCATGTTCAACCCGAAATCAGGACAAAGCCTGCACAGGAGGCAGCTCGAGAAGACTCGAGGTCTTGAGGACAGTGTATACCTGAGAATTTTATGTTCAATCCTGTGCTCTGCTGCAAACTCACAATGTGGATTTGGGCAACTTATCACACTTATCTGTCTCCTAGGTTCCTATTCATAAAAAGATGTTCAATGCCTATCCTTCCTCTCCTTCCCAACTCTCTTGGGCATTATTTGCTTCTCATTTAGCAATGAGTCAGGTCACCTAAAGGAGATGTAGAGGCTCCCTCTCTGGGCACTGAAAACAGCCACCTCCAGAGATGACTCCCCACCTCCTAAGACCTTCCGTACCATTTCCAGGTGCTGACCTCCCTGCAAGGTTATTTCCTTTTCCATCTTTGAGTGAAAACAGAGCTGCCGAATGGAAGCAGGCTGCGGAAAGCTGAAGGATTACTTCCCTTGTTGTTGGCACAACAAAAGCAAAACAGGCAGGAGGCTGACTCCCTTTTCTCAGGGCACCACAACACTTCACTCCCTCCTAATCACCGCTGTCTGTTGAGCATTCAAGCTACCCAGGCAGAGCTATCTGCTATTATGTCGTGGGGCTGGGAGCTAGTTCGGCTGAAAGGAAACACTCAGCCACTTAATGCTGCTGTCAATTATTCCAGCTATAAAGACTCTGACCCCATCTGCAACGTCAGGGAGAGAAATCCAGCCATCACATGCCTACAGAGATCTGAGGACTGCCTGGCCTCAATGTCTGCTTATCCCCACTCTTTGCTGATGCTATCCAAAGGCTCAAACACGTGTGGTAGCCCTATGCTAAAGAAAGACCCTAAACTATACATGCTTTGCTTTATTATAGAGGAGGGGCAATGGATGGCTTGTTTCTTTGACATAGTGATGAAACAACAGCACCAACGTGACCTGACATGCAGTGACAGCAGTGAGAACAGACCCAGCAAGAGCTTTTGTGTAGTCACTCTCCTGTAAGCCTGCTGCTGCTGCAGGGCAGCTAAACCCCCTGGCACTGCAGGAAACAAAAGCCTGAGCTGAAAGGGAAATTGCGAGTGTCAACAGTCCCATTCCTCGGGGACTCTCTGGGACACTTGAGCTTTAGAGGACATACAGCTCTGAAAATGCAGACTTCCACTTAGATGGAGCTCAAAAGTGGCATTAACTGTGTCTGGGATTGCTGCAGGAAGGATTTTTTTTTTTTTTTTTTTTTAAGGACTGGCAGTTCTCAAAGCCTTTGAACCCTGACATCAAGATTTCTCAAGAGCAGTGAGGCTTCAGCAGCAAGGGGAGCTTGATGAAAAGCACGTCATCTGGAGTGACACCTTCAACTTGGGTAACAACTCACTGAGACAAGCTTTTGGGGACAGAAGAACAAACTCCACCTGGCAGGAGGAGGTGGGACAGATTTTGGGAAAGTCCTCTTTACCCACACCATCTCTTCAAACGAGAGGCAAATGCAGTGTTTGACACCCTCAGTACTGTTTTGAAGACCTCTATTTCACCTGCAAAAAAAAAAGCTGCTCAGGTGCGCTGCACATCCAGGACAAATGAAGAATAAATGCTGGATGTGGACGCCCAGCTTGCTCTCAGAGCAACCAGTAAGAGCAGTTTTGGAAGGAGATAATGTCACAGTTTTCCACCACCAGGCTGTACTTCTATCCAGACAGAGCAATAAAAAGGCAAAGCATTAACCAGATGCCTAGGGGACTCCAGAGAGGCCAGAGGCAGAGGGCTGATAGCTGAGACACATTAAATTTCAGACTTAACCCCATCCCAAATTGCTGGCTTCTAATGCTTTGTGCTTTCCTCCTGAAGGGGAAAGCTATTTAAAACACAGGTGGAAGTAGAGAGGGACACTCTTGGGTTGGAAGAATGAGGGAAGCCCTGTAAGATAAAAAAAAAGGGGGAAGAAAAATGCTTTCAGCCAAGCACAAATACCAAAACGACAGCGGCTGCTGGTCCCACGAAGGCGTAGAGAAGACCTCCCTCTAATGACAGCCAGCAGCTGGAAAAGGAAGAAGGAAAAGAAAGTTACCCAGTGGCCAGCATCACCAACAAAGAGGCACATGTTTTGCTGCTTCTCTCTGCCTGTGGAGTTGATAATCCATGGTTAAAAAAAGTCTCAGACTTTACAAGCAAGCAAGCTGTGCTTTCCTTTCCTCCTGAACGTGCCCAAAAGCCCAGCCGCCTGGGGGTCTGCCTGCAAAGCCTGGTTTGGTTGCTGACAGAGGAGTGCATGTAAAATTTCTGCCACACTCTGCTTTAGACTAGGTCCTGCGATTTGCGAGCAAGACGATGCTCTTGTCGTGCTCACTTAGACAAAAAGAGTAGAAATAGTGGAAATTGTCCCTCATTATTTGCTAACCAGTATGCCCCTCAGGTTTTAGGCCCAGGAGAGCAGCACGTTTCTGCTCCTGGATCCTCCCTTTCGGGTCACTGCCATGGGGAAAATTTGCGATGCAGGAGGAAAGTGGGATGGATGTGGATGCTCCTGAGGAATAAGCTGAGCATGAGGCATTGTGGTGCACCCCCTGGAAATCAGCTGGTTGCTTCTCCCTCACCTGAGAAGGATTTTTCCTCTCTCCGGTGTCCTTGTGTGGGATTTAGGCTCCTAAATTAAAGGGTTGGTGCCTGAACAACCCAAAGTGAATCTTCTTACTAAGTCTTGGTGTCTATCATGTGTGTGCCTGTCATGGTGCCAGTAGGCCTCAATGACATTTTTAGTCACTGGAGATCCAGTCTACTGGGTCTAAGATTTTTTACATGTGTTTTTTTAACACTTTACAGTTACATTCAGTCAAATCACAGCCCGAACTCCACTGACTGCCTTCACCACATCTTCCCCACACCGGCAATGAGGGCACCCAGCCTGGATGGAGACCTCACTGGGGAGACAAATCCCAGGTAGGGAGCACGAACAGGCCCCAGGTGTCCCCACGGGGCTCCTCCTGCCCTCTACATCCACACCCAGACTTTCAGGTTTGAACATAAAGACAGGAAGGAAAAATAAAAGCTTTTTTTTTGTTTTATGGAAGCACATTTTCACTGTGAGGGTGGCCACGTAGGCTGCCCAGCAGGGTTGTGGGGTCTCCTCCTTCAAAAGCCACCAGGACGTGGGCCTGGGCACCCTGCTGCAGGTGGTCCTGTGGGACCTTGAGGTCCCTCCCCACCTCTCTAAATCTGAAAATGACATCAGCACTGGGGCTGAAATCCCCATTTCATGGGGAATCTGGCAATTTCCAAGCATGGACACACAAAGCAGGCACTTCGGGACAAGAGAGGATGTGAATTTACACTACAGCAGCAGCCCCATGGGAAGTTTGCCCACTGTGACATTGCAGGACCCTGGAGAAAATATGAAGTAATCCTCTTTCAACAGCAAAACTTCCATGCATTTACCAACGGGTAAGAGCAGGCAACCGCAGTGGAGCAAGGACTTTCTGCAAGCTCTTAGCCCAGCTAACCCTGCAGTAATTCACATACGTGCCGCCACTCCCAGCCATCTCATTTTGTTTTGCATCAGGAGAAATGCTGCCTTTCAGACCCTCCCAGGAAACAAAGCCTTCCTGGAAACATTTCAGTTTTGGATATCAACCTCTGATGTTTTTGTATCAGCTCTGACTTGCAAAAAAAATGTTATTTTTCACCTTAAAACACAGAATGTTTGGGGAAAAAAAATAAAATAATTCAAACTGGAAATTGGAAGCAGGACCTTCTGATTTTCTCCAAGGCCTGAATCTTGTTTATTTCTAAATTAAAGCTGTAACATGGTAATTTAATCAATTCTGATTTCTTCCTGATAGCCAGTTGCTCCTTCAGAAACTGTCTGAGCAGCTGTGATAATAAAACAAATAACCGGGATAATAAAACAAATAAGCAGGCAGGGAGGGAGGGAATAGGAGGGAAGATTTAGAGCACTGCAAGAGCTGGAAAAAGTCTTCATGAATGCAAGGGGAAAACTGAAGGGGGCTCCCAACCACCTGACCTTGCCCAGCCTTTCTGCTCTGATGCTCAAAAGTCTTAAAAACTATTTTTTTTTTTTCCCCAGGTCTCTTCTAGCCACAAAGGGAAGATGTAGCTTACCCCAAGAAGGGAGCTGGCAGCCCTATACTCATGAGGACACGGTGCAGGGATGGCTTTCTATGGGCTTTTTGAAGGCAAGTTCACACATCACTGAGCACCAGCCTCATCCCTTCTGACTGCCTGGCCTCCCTGTCACAACTCGTAACCACTATGTTTCCTTCCAAAGCCATCAGAGGTAGTGGCTGACAGCAGGAGAGGAAAACGCCGTTCTGGAGAAGGAAAACTGACAGCAAACTCCAGCAACACGTGAGTCTTGTGGAGATGCTTTTAACCTCATCCCTGCAAGACACAGACATGTTTGCATGGTGTAACGAGGCTTCCCAGCACTTGCCAAGGGATCTCTCAAGAGATCTTTTAAATAACATCGCCAGTTGAAGGGAGGGAGGGAGCGGTTTAGCAATGCTCAACAACCATTTCCAAGCAGGGCTTCCCAAAATGATGTCAGCTCTTGCATCCGAGACCTCTTCACACCACATCTGATCCATCCGAGAGTCTGCTGTGGCAAAGCTGTGAGGTTGGAAGGCTTTGGTCTTGGTCCTGCAAAGAGCTGACTTTGAGCAGGACCTTCTGGACTATCCCCTACAGCTCTGCCTCTTCCAACTTGGTGTCCCAGTCCAGCCAGATAAAGGGTAATCCTTATATCTCCAGCCTTCCCATGCACAAAGCAGCCTCTGAGCTCCCTGATTTACAGCTCAGAGACATGGCCAAGCCTCTGACCACCACCAAGTCTCGGTGGGACAGACCCCCAGGCTGCTGCAGTTGCGTGCCATCACACTACTACTACTGTTATGATCCAGAAACTGCAGGGTTGGAAGAAGTTTTGAAGGACACTGTGAAGTCCCTTGTGGTCTATCATGTCAGCTCTCATCCCCTGCATCACAGGGAGAGACACGTTGTGGTTAACATCTTGTGGTTCCTTCTGCAAGGTGGAAACTTTGTGCCTTGAAAGCCTGCCATCCCATCTGAAACACCCTGTGCATGCCCAATTCCAGCTAGACACAAAGCTAAAAGTGCCTCTGAGCTCCAGCTCCAAGCTTTGCAACCACCACACACAATTCTGCTGTGGTCACAAACCAAAATAACCCTGGGACAAGCTGAGATCCAGGTCTATATTCTGTTTATATATATCCAGCATTAAACAGGGTTACATCTAGTTCCTGTCTGAACAGCCTCAAGGTTTGGAGGTCAGCTCTGAAATTCCTGGTACATAATATTGACTTTGTTCTAGAGAAGAGGTACAACCAAGACCCACCTGCACATCACTAGAAGAAAGTTTTTATGCCCCTTTAACAGGAAAGCAGGGACAAGTGTGTCTTCTACTGCGGTGTAGGGGCACCCTGTCTATCTTGGTCCACGCCTATTTTTGCTTTGTGATCTAAAATGCACTGATTGAGTTGAACAAGAACACTCAATGAGTGCCTGTAGGGTCACACACGCTTCCTGGGGTAGTGCTGGGCTCTAGTGCACACTATAAATTTGCTCAATTTACCTTTGGCTCTCAGTACAGCCAATGGCAGGAGTCATGAGGTGGTGGCAGAGCTACAAATGTCTGACCAAAGGCTGTTTCTCATGCTCGTGCTCTGCAAACTGTGACATTACTGACACAGCACAGTCCCAGGAAGATTTTCCCAGTGGGTTAGAGCTGGGAGCATGTGTCCAAATTCACTAAGCACCTCATGAAACCAACAGCCCCCTGCTGCAGACACATCTGATGTATCACAAGGGTTTTCAGAGGAGCTGGCTGGGGATAGGCAAGAGGGGAGCCTGAGCACTTGGGAAAGCGCCTCCCCAGTTTGGTTTGAGTGGGAGCTGGCAGAAAGTGTGCACACGATGAATAGGTGCTTGTAGGGCAAAAGAAGGTCTAACAGTATGTACACCGCCAATATTGGGTAGTGGGAGAGCTCAGCTTTCAGTTCTTTGATGCTTTTGAATCTGAGCATGATCATTCCAAGCCAGAAAAAAAACAAAAACAAAAACACCACCACCACCAAAAAACCCTACCACAAATCACAACAACAACACAAAAAAACCACAACCACAACCAGCACAACCTAATTAAGAGCCCTAGCACCAACATGTGCTCTCCATGAACTGTTGCCTCAATGACTTTGCTGGGACTCACCGGCTTTACCACCCACTGGGCTCCAGTGTGGAAGGGAATAAAAGGACTGGATGGGACCTGCCAGGGTGCAAAAACTCCCTGCTATTTTAGTGACAGGCACCCTGACAGCAGAGCTAAGAAATGGTGTCACAGGCAGCCAGCGAGGAGCTCCTGCATGTGAGGAGCGACGGAGATTTAAGGGCTGGAAGGAGACAGGGGATTGGCAGCAAGAGGAGAGCTGCTCTGGTTAAGGACACCCTGGGAGTGATGGAAAGTCAACGTGCTGCCTTGCTGGCGTGCCAATCTGAGAGCAAAGAGGGTGTCCAGCAGCATTTGTGGTGCCTTGATGCCCTTGTGCTGCAGGCTGGGAGGGCTTTGCCCTAGGGCAGGGAGATGCTGGCATGCATGGTTCAGGGCAGGGAGGTAGGGAAAGTTCATCTGCACAGTCCCTCCTTCCTCCCAAGGCTTGTGGGGTCAATATTCAATACAAAACTCTGTGGTGACACTTAAGCATTCACAGGGAAGAATCCACAAAGCTTTTTGCATCCATTCACAGCAGTCTATAAACGGGGAAGGAAGCAGAAATATTTAGAGCTTCCACCCATTACCCCAATGCCTCCTGATTAGGAGTTGGTCTTAGGTGGAGGAGTGTCCTAGAAGCAGAATTTGGATTCACAGAAAAGCTAAAGGGCATCTGGGACCTGTGACACCTCTGAAAGCCAGGCTACTCTTCTGAGCCATTCAACAAGCACCGAGCCCTCACTAATAGGACAATCTGACTCTAAATCCCTCAAAAGCTGGGGCAGGGCAGTCTGGACAGGTACAGCACCTGTACACAGGCACCCAAAATGCAAAGAACTGGCCAGCGAGGCTCTAGACAATGATGGGATGGGATAAGGAAAGGCCTGATCTATTGGTAGGTAAAATATCCTTTGACTGCCACTTTGTATAAAATTTCTAAACTATTTTTTCACAACACAGTGAAAAAATACTACTTTTTTAAAAGGTTGCACTAATGCTCAGCTCTGAGTGATTCCAGCCTTGCCTTAATGTTTTTTTTTTTTTTTCCCTCTCCACAGCTTTATTCTGTAATTTCTACCAACTTTCTTCCCCACTACAATAATAAATAATAAAAAAAAAAAGTTTCATAAAGATAAATAATAATAAAGAAAAAGATTAAAAAAACACAACTTGGTTTTCATAAAAGTAAATACTGAGCTGCTTCCAGTGGGGGATTCAGCAAACAAATTCAGATTGCTTTCAAAAACTTGGTTGGAAAAACTTATCCACATTTTGATGCCTAAAACTAAGCTGAGCTATTTGGAAAACCTGAGTCCAATCAAGCAACCCATTACATAGATAAACACAGAGGCTGTTATTTCATTTTTAGACATCCCAAACTTTAAATATTCCACATTTTGCTCTAAAAATAGATAAATAAATAAATAAATGCTATGTTTATCTAAAGGTACTTAGATGAAAATAATGTAATATATGGAAGAATTAATCCCCTCATTCTCTGTGAAGCTGTTTTTAAAGGAGCACACAATACTTGCTCAGTACCTAGCCCTGGTGGTATTCCCGTAGGGGTGCTTCAGAAGCAAATGCAGACAAAATCCACGTTGCTGACTGTGGCACTCTTATCCCCTGGTGAAAACGTCCCTCTTATTCAGACAAACTGAACTCAGAGGGCTGCTCCTGTTCACAAAACCAGTCCTCTCTCTGGGGACTTGGCTCTCCTAAGGTTTCCCCTGGGCATCTGGATGGGGAGGAGGGAAGCGCACAGCATCCCGATGAGCCGAGGGTTTGAGGATGCTCCTTCTGCTCTCATCACTCCTGCTTCTCTCTGCCACGGGCACTAATTTAGCTCCTACCTTTGCTCCTGCAGGTCACTGACTGCATTTTGACAAGGATAGAGGGTTAGACGGGAAGGAAAAGGAAGCAAAGCCTCAGTACTCACTAGTTTGCGGTGCCGTACCCCTTGGCTTTTGTAAACCCCACGGAAATGGCAACCACCAAGGCGGGGAGCCCTAAAGAGAAGAAAACATGAGAAAATTGGTCATTGCAGCACACGTGCAGGTCTGTACCAGCTCAGGCATATCATATACCCCGTTCCTCCCGGTGTTATTCTAACACCATCTGTCCCAGCCTGGCCCTTTGGCAGAGGCTGAATTCAGGACCTCCAGAGCCAAAAGCACGAGCCCTTGTTACCTCTGCTAATGAAGTGAGTGCCATCAGCTGTAATCAGCTCGCTTCCCGCTGTGGTCTCAGCAGTTGTGTGGGAAATGATAGCACTTTCAAATGCATAGCATCAATTCCTTTTATTTTTAGGGACATGGATAAGCCAGTCTGTTTCCTGCAGGTGGGATATCCAGGCAGCACCCAACCCAACAGAGCTGGTAAGGCAGAGATTGAGACCTATGTTTGCTCTTAATATATGAACAACCTAGGTTCAAATCTCACCCCAAATGAGACAGAGAAGGTTATTGAGAAATGCTGGCCTGAAACTCCAAGAAATATCATTAAAAGCTTTGACATGGTTGGGTGTTTGAATGCCCAGGCACTTCTGAGCTAGAAAAAAGATGTTGTATCCTGCTAATAGCCTTCTGATCTGTCCTATTCCTGCTTGATAAACTGCTCAAGAATCTACAGAGGAGATTGGGTACTTTTCTGATTCACTATCCCCAGCCCAGCTCTTCCCTTTCTCTATCAAAATCCCTGGATATCGGCTGGTAACATCTGGTTCCTCAGCCACCAAGGCCTCTGTGGGGCTTTTTATAGCCCTCCTCCTCACGTCATGCCACATTAAGCTGTCTCAATGCTAAAGACGGGCAAATCCCATTAGGAATTAGCAGGATCAGTAGCCAGCTGGGATTAGTGCTCCTTGACGAGACCCTAATTCCTGCGCCGTAGAGGTCACAGCAGGCAACTGTGGTTTGGAGGGCTGTCCAGACACAGCACCCAAACACTAACCCTGCTGGCAGTGTGCTCACTCGGCAGTAAAACCATCGCATGGATGATTAACTGAAAGGGTCAGCAGCCAGCTGGGTGGTGTAGGGCCAAGCTGGCTGGAATATGAAGTATTTGAGTCATCGGAAAGAGAAGTGTTTCTCTTCCCCTACAAAATTCCCAAGCACTGCTCATGTTTGAGCAGCCTGAACCAATGGGTAGGGGTTAAGGGATGTCCAGTGGGTTACGAGATGTGTCTTTTTTTTGGTTTTCATTTTAATTAACTCTTGCTCCTCTTACTGAACTTCCTTCATGCCTACAGACCAGGCATCCTGTCCATACCACCAGCACAGTGTTCAGGTACAATGCCATCGATGTGGCACCCCACAGCAAGCACCCCATGAAGACATCAGGGAAAGGGCTTTTTGGGGAGTCGATCATTGATGAGAGAGGCTCCGCTGGAAAGAGGAAAATTGGCTGAGACTCTGCCAAAAATAGCAGCGTGTTCTTTACAAAGTGCTTCTCCGGGACGTGACAATTATGCAGAAAGGCACATTTGGGCTGTGAACTCGTCAGCTTTCAGGGACTGGGTAGGAAGGAGCCCCAGCTTGTGCTGAAAATGGAGCTGTGCAAGCTGTGTTTGCTAGAGGAGGTAGCCACATCAAGGCAGCTGAGCCAACGAGCATAGCAATGAGGGCTGCTGAACTCCTCTGCCTTGAGAGAGAGGTAAAATGAATGCCTAACCACAGTTGCATGGGATTTGATTAAAAAGAAATAAATCCAAGCATTATCAAAACATATTTTAATAGATTCTTGGCTATCCGAAAGAAATCTGCTTCTAACTGGCCTGTCTCTGTAGGCAGCCACTCGTGCTACACAGTCAAAAAGCGAATGTTACAGTCCTAACTCCACAAGAAACCTGGTTTGAAGAGTTTTATTCTGCCAGGCCAGCAGGAGAACTGTGTCATGCGATCAGCACATCCCATTAAAAAAAGGTCATTTGATAAAAATGACTACCAAGAGCCACAACTGTTAAAAAAAACTGCAGACCCACTCAGAGCCTCAGCCAGGGTGACATTAAAAATCCATTTGAAGCCCCGACATGATCCTATGAGGACTAACCAAATTATTCCTTCTTTACTGGGACTAGATGTTCTGATGGAATTGTTTCTAGGGAACAATTTGCCCATCTAAATAACTTAAAATTGTTCTAATTGCTAAAACTCTTTGCTGGAAAGGCGAAGTTGCTTCCCCGAGAGGAGAAGAGAAAAACTGGGAATAAATCTCAGTGCTGATGAAAACCACGACGGCTTCAATGAGCTACAGCTGCCAGCAGCTGAGAACTTGGCAGAGATCTAGAACGAGGGCTTAGAAAAATGTTAATAAGCAAAGGGGGGAAAGGGGGAGAATCAGCTCATGAATTGTGCTAATTATTTCAGATTATGCTCTTTAAAACATATTTTCAGCCTCTTCCCTCTTAGAGGCGCCATTAATCCCAGCTGAAGCCAAGCAGGATGCTAAATATCTGGAATTCCCTTGCTGCCTTAACAGGCAAGAGTGTTCTTCACTTCGTGTCCTAACCTATTCCAAACGTTATTATGCATCATTTATCAGCCACTGCTTCCTAGCCCAGGAATAACTACATTTCACTAACACTGCAAATTATGCTTCTACACATGTAGGCTACTTTTTAAAAAAATCTGTACAGATTACAATTGTGGATGTCACTCAGTCCAAAATTCCCTTGACTAACACTCCCATCTGTCCCAGCGTATATAAATCAGAATGAAAAAAAAATCCCTTTTAACACCTAACGAAGCTATCAGTCTCTTGCATCTGATGTGCCTGATGCTCCTTGTGTCACATCGTTTGTGCTTGAACACATGCACCAACCCCAAAAGCACACACAGCCCATGCTTTTCACGTCTGTGCTTTCAGGTTTGGGTTCCATACCAGCCTTCTCTTTCAGTCCCACAGTTTATTTTGTTTCCTAGGCAAAAGCCAGGGGTGAAAACTTCAAGGGATGCAGGTGCTGCAAGGAGGACGGCCCCTGATGTGCCAACATAAATCACATCAGGGCCCTTGGTAAGCGTCGCTAATATCTTGCCTGGGGTGAAATGCTTGACTCCAGCAGTAAAACGAGCCCCTAATACAGGAGCTCAGTGCTTTCTCTCTCTCTTTTTTCTCTCTCTCTCTTTTTTTTTCTCCTGCTTGCTTTTGAGCAACTTTTTGTTCAGTCACTGCTTTCCAGCACAAGCTTGTCGTCGCTTTGAAAGCCCAGGTTACGGGCTTGCGTTTGTTTTCTCCTACAGAATGCATCATTTAAGGTTAATAAATTAAACATACGGAAGAGGCAGAGGGAGGAAAATTAGTTACAAGCATCTGCACCGGTCTCAGAGTTTATTTGTCTATGCAAGGCCCTGCTGCCATGGAGACAGGATTTCAGAGCTCGCTTCTCCCCGGGTTGCACACGGAAGGAGGCAGAGAGAGGGAAATAAGAGAGAGAAAGCAAAAGAGACCCAATGGCAGGAGAAATCCCTCCGTATGCCCCTTGGACACACAGCCCCCTCCCAGCTCATCTCTCTTGTGTCACCCTGGGCCGGATGGGGCAGCAGGTTGGACTCAGTTTTTACCATCTCAGCTTTGCTCATTTTTAACCATCCCAGCCCTTCTGGACACTCCCAGAGGTGTCAAGCCCCTTGTGCCGAGCCTTCTGCAGAGCATCGGCCCTTCTGCTGGCCTGGACCCTCTCTGCTCTGCATCCCAGGATGTGAAAATGCTTTTTTTTTTTTTTTTCTCTCCCCTGTGGGACCCACGATCCTCACCCCATCCGAGGCACAAGAAGCGCTTGCGGATGATGCGGTTCCGTAACCGGCCCGTCACGGCCATGTAGGACTGCCAGGCCTCGGTCAGCACCCAGCAGAAAGAGGAGAGGAAGAAGAAGTGCAAGAAAGCCGCCACCAGCGTGCATATCACCTGGAGAGAGGAGGAAAGGAGGACACGTGAGAGGAGAGAGGAGAGCGGCAGGCAGAGGAGGGCTGCTTCCAAACCAGGCTCTGGAAGGAAAGGTCACAGGGATCAGCAAAAGAAAGGACATTTCGGGAGGAGGGAGCGTCCCCCTCGAGCTTTGACCTAGCTTGGGCTTGAAGCATTTGCCTTAAATTGAAGCACTGCTCAGAAACTGGTTGCTCTTAAGCATGAGCTCCAAGCCCGTGGTTAACTATTTAATAGGATCACAGAATATCCCGAGTTGGAAGGGACCCATGAGAATCATTGAGTCCAACCCCTGGCTCCACACAGGACCACCCAAAAATCACACCGTGTGTCTGACAGCATTGTCCAGACATTTCTTGAACTCCTTCAGGCTCAGTGCAGTACCCATGTCCTTGGGCAGCCTGTCCCAGCGCCCGACCACCTCTGGGTGCAGAACCTTTCCCTAACCCCCAGCCTGACCCTCCCCTGTCCCAACTCCGTGCCCTATTTTATTGAACTCTTGGCCCATAGTGGTGCTGTTTGCCCTTAGCAAGACACATTCATTTTCCAGTGAGGAAACCCCCAATGCTTTCAGAGAGGATGAAGCAGTTATTAAGGTTTGCACAGCACCGTGTCAGTGGTGCTTGGCAGTAATGGACTCAGAGGAAGGCAAATCCGAGGGGTCCCTGCCAGGTAGGATGACTCTTTGCAGAGCAAATATATTGAGCTGGGTAAAACCCTGGCTGCTAGGGGCTGGGAAGGACTCTGAGCATGAGAGGTGCTGAGCTGTCCAACAGCACATAACTACTAGCAGAGAGGAAAAAACAAAAAGCAAAGAAAAATTGTAATGAAATAACATTAAAAGAAATTTCATAACCGTGTGTTCTACCACTCGGCAGGGAAATCTCTCGGAGGAAATGCAGGGAGCTCAGGCCATTTAAACTTAAACCGGGGAAAGCACCAGCGAATGCATTATGGAGAACAACCCTGTAGTGCTGGGGAGATGGGCTGGAAAGCTGACAAGCTCGTCTTTGTTTTTTAACGCAGCAAAGCCAAATCGTTCGCCGGCACAAATCGGTGCCACTCCGTTAACTCTGCCAGAGCCATGCTTCGTTTTCACCATCGGAGAATGAGAACCCCTCAATGAATGTGAAACCAATGGAAATAAACTCCCAAGGAGAAGGGAGAGCAAACAGAATTTAATAAAAGTGACTCTGGATGGAAAAATATTGGCTTAAGGCATTGAGGGCAGATGGGGAAGGGGGGTTACAGCAAAGAATTTCTCTGCTTTGAGTTATATCAGGAAAAATGGACTTTGGGTTTATGGTCACTGAACCTAACCTTTCTTTCATCCACCAGCATCTTTCAGCACAGAGCTCTTGTGCACATCTTTTATCACGTTTTTATTGGATTGCTCTTGATCCGTACGCTGGCAGGGCCAGGAGTTGTCAGAGGCTGGGAATAAAAGTCAGGCTGTGAGCTCGTGGAGACAGGGACTGCCTTCTCATTCCATGTTTGTGTTTGACACGGAAACCATTGGTATTCTGCCTACAAATGGATTCTGGATGACAGCTCTGTACAAATAAACCAGCACAATGTGATAATTTGAGTAATTTTCACATTTTAAAAGAATCCTCAAAATATGTCTGCTATTCATCAGCTTACAGACCTACCTAAAACAGTTACAAATGGGGTGCTTTCAGGAATGTATTTTGAGATATTTTTATTTTAGAACTTTTTTTTTTTTTTTAAGGTAATACCGCAAATGAAACTGTCAGTTTTATTGTGCTGATTTTATTCTGCACCAGCACGTTTTTCTGCCCTCTTTGCCAGCAGTTTGGAGAGGAGAGAAAAGACCTCTCTGCCTTCCAATTCTCCACCTGGGAGATACATTTTCCAAGGGTTTTTACTCAAACAGGTAATTTTGAGGGAAAGGGGAGGAGAAGAGAGGAGGAGAATGCAACAAAAAATGCACATCTATGCTAATGATTGTGAATGGACCTCATTAAAAATCCATTAAGATCAACGAGCTGATTTTGCCCAGATTTGGGAATGATAAGGGAGTCTTCCCTCTTATTTTCCCAGTCCCCTGAGAGGAGATGTGGCTGTCAAGGCCATTAGTCCTTGTTTTTGTTGAAGAGGAGAAATCAGGTTCCTTGCAGCACGTAGCCTTTGAGATACAGTCAGTCCATGCAGCATTCATTTCTTTTGTATCACATTAGTGCTGACCGTCATTTTTTAGCCTTTTCCCTTTTATCTTCAAAAAGCTTAGCAAATCTAGGCGTGGAGTCTTGCCTTTGAGGTTCCACGGATGGAAATGATGGGGGAATTTGGCGTTTCCCAGAAAACTATCACTGTAGAAATTCTCTCAGAGCAACTATGATTACAAATCAATCACCAACATTTTAGGAAGCTCCATTATCAATAATTGAATGTGAATAAATTCCTAAGTCACACTCCTTCATCTCTTCTCTCTATAGTTTTCTTTCCCTGTTCCCTGCCAGTGACTGTTTACTAGATGGCTGAGCGGAAACCCAAGAATAACCTTTCTATTTCGGGTGTTTCATGCATATGTATGTGCAAAGAGCTAAGCTGCCTCGTGCAACTGCAACCAGCTTTGAATCCCCACTACCAGCTCTGATGAACATCCACAGCAACGTGAAAAGAAGCACAAGGGGCAACCTGGGCTCCCAGCTGTGCTCTGAAGGAGGTGGGAGAGGGTTGAAGGCATCCACCTCCAATCCTGGAGTGAAAAAGAAGAACTAAAGAGGAGGTCCAGCCATGATTGGCCTTGTTGAGCATCTCTTAGTGTTTCTTTCTATGAGAAGCTGCTCCTAGCACACACTTGGGGTTGCAAGAAAAGCAAAGCTGAGCTTACCTTTTCCCCACCTCTTGCCCCAAGAAAAGCATGGTGGCAAGGAAAGGCAGCTTTACTTTGCAAAGCTAGTTTCTGAAGGGTTTAATAGCAACAGGGCCATCTGGCTGCATCTCCCTACACTTTCCTACCCACATGTGGCTCAAGCAGTTGTAAAGCTTCCTTTAAAACACAACCCATCCCTGACCCCAAGGGCCTTCCATAGCAATGAGGCTTTGTGATTCATTAAAGCCTGGGGCTTCTCTGCAAAAACGCTTCCAAAAGTGACAGCATGCTGGCTGTCAAAGTAGCGACTCAAAAAAAACAAAACTGGCTGGTCACTGTTTGCTGTTAATTAAAAACTTGATTCTGATTTCTGATTGCGATTTCAGCAGCAGGATGAGCTGGAAGACATTTCTGGCCTCAGTTTCCTGCACAGAGTAGTTCGGCTGGTTGAAGCATTTGGGGAGGGAGGAAGATGTACGACAGGAAAATATTCATGACGAGCAGCGACTGGGTACGCCAGCTGCCAGCAGAGAAAGTGCTTTAGCTGGAGAAAAGTCATCCAGGCAACACAACACCTCTCCATCTGGATCTCTGATGCAATGAGGCATGTACCCAGCCATCATTGTACAGGGCTTGAAAAACCACATCTACTCCTTGCCTTCCCTGCTGGAGCAGCACTGAGACCTGCAGCAAGTCCCTCAGGGTCCCAGAGGCCCAGCGATGTGCACAGGGCACCTGGTGACACTTCCCAACCCCAAAGAAAGGTGTTCTTGGTGGCTTCATTGCTTAACATCTGCTGAGCTAAAGCTTGGAGCATAAAAATTGCTAGAGAATTAAATGTAATGATGAGATGCTGAGAATTTTCCTCTTTTTGTTTTTTTTCTTTTTTTTTTCCCCCTTGCTCAATCTGTCCTTCTTTGTCATTTTTGGAAAATAAAAATGGTGAAAGCCTTGCAAATAGCCACGTTTCTTCAGCGCGCCATGTGCCAACTACTCTAGGCAGATATTCAAAAATATCACATTGGTTTTAATCAAAGCCCTGAGGATGCTGACAAATTATCTAAGAGTGAGCGGGAGAGAAAATTGAAATCTGCCATTTAGTTGTGTCTTTGACACGTCGCTAATTAACAGATGGGGGAAAAAATGAGGAAGTGCTGCCTGGATGGATTGCTTCTGTGCTAAAGCAGGGGAAAAGCAAACAAACCACCCAACAAACCAACGCATCTCCTACCTTGTTCCGGGTCTGGGTCTGTCCGATCAGGATGAGAGCGTTGGAGGAGATGATGGAGAGGCAGAAGTTGATGAGAATGACGGAGCGCTCTGAGCGGATGTACCTGCAGGAAGAGAAGAGAGGGAGGGAGATCCACCCCGTTACACCTTGCGGGAAGCTACCTCGAAAGGCATCAACCAGATGCAGGTTGCATGGGGCCAGGCTCTACTCAAGGCCACTGGCAAGAGATTGCCCCCTTCCTGCAGATCTTGTGCGTTAAATGGAGCAGAACAAGGGGGAAAAGAGGAGGAGAGCTCGGCGTGGTGCTCAGCCCACAGGTCTCGCAATCCTCCCCATCAGTGCTGGAGGCATGAGCATGAGTCAACAACATAGGGGCCAGCCTGGTCCCTAGCCTGAACCCCTCCTAAACCAGGTCTGAGTGCTGTTAAGTCTTCTTCAGCTCAGCTTACTGGAAAGGGGACTTGAAAAGGAGCTTAAAAGAAAGCATACACGCAACACATGGCAAGAGTCCCAAATAAGAAGAGCCACAAGCATGCTGGCGATGGAAGCAGGTTACGAAAGCATGCACCTTCACAACAAAGTGTTTGCCATTCAGCATTCCCCTTGTTTAACCTAACAGTGCAACCAAAAGCGAGAAGGATTTGTGGCTTTTTTTGGTTTGTTTTCCCCAGGTGGAGAGGTTTAGCACTTCCCAAAACTAGGCCAAATATGTCGCTGTGGCCTTGGGTCCGGGACATTAGGGATCCAAGCAAGGAAGCCTTCTGCACCTTGCAGGAGCGAGCCACTTGTCACTTCTGATTTGCACGGTGCAGCGCGGCGTCAGCTCGCTGCTCAAGTACGTGCGTGACAATTCATTCCACCGACTGGCTACAGAGGAAGATTTCTTGGAAGGCACTTTTATGTACCTAATAAAATTAAAAGGCAATTGCAAAAGCGCAAGTCTTCAAGGATTAACTCAGGACCTGACCACACCAATCGCACACACGTGAATAATCCCAGTGATTCAGCCTGCATGCCGGATGACTAAAGAGTAGAAACTAATGTCTCTAGAAATTAGAAACAGATCTGTTAACCAGACAGCTCATCCCTGGAGGCTAATGCAGGATTATTTCCTATATTCCGGCACATCAACTATTTATATTGATAATTTAATTTTGTTAATTAATTTCAGCAGGAGTCAGTCAGCCACGCTATTTGGCTAGCATGGGATGTACTGCAGGTCTGTGCTGTGCCAGGGGGGATCCATGCTTCAGATCAACTGGAGGCTGCGAAGCTTTGCTTTTCACTTCCACCTGAGTTTGCCCTCCAGATAAGCAGGAAGGTTGAGGATCCACTTTCCTGGATATAAAAAGTCACTGGTTTAGCATGAACTTACATCGGCTCTGATGGAAACCTTGTCTGTGGGTAGTTCTTCCTCAACACTCACCCCAGCCCTGTAACACACTCCAAAATTTAGGCTTCCAACTCAGCTAGAAATTGGGTTTGCTGCCTGCAAAACTTGGACTCCTTTCACAGCCCATCTGATCCCAGATCGCCCCATTTCATTGGGCTCAATATGATGCTGTGGATCACCTGGATCCTCCTCCTTTTGGGGATGGGAGGTACCAAGCCATCAATCTACCTAGGCTTTGATCATGCAAAGCAAAACAAGCCCCAAGCTCAAGTCTAGAGCCATCAGCTTCTGGGAGACAGAAATGGAGATCCGGACTCTGTCCTGGTAGAAACAGGATGTGGTAAGTCCACAGGAAAGTCCACAAGAAACAGGATGAGGTAAGTGTAGGAACACTGTGGTTTAGCTGGTGTTAACGTGCACTTAGGAAGTCTCTCCCGGTTAAAAAGGGTAAGAAAGGAGTTGAGTGTAAGTGTAGTTGGTATGTGAATGGAAGGGGTTAGAAACCAACTGTTTTCAGACTTTTTACTCCCTAAGAAGCTTTTCCTCTCTCCATGCTTCCCTTCATCCACCAAAAGCCTTCCCTGCTGTCCAGATCCCTGAACCTCCAAACAACGAGGTGTGAGTTGGTGCCACGTAGAAGCACAATATCAGAATAAGTTAGGCTGAAAGAAAACCTCTGGAGTTCAATCTTCTGCCCAAAGCAGGGCTAATTTTTAAGTCCTGTCAGATTTCTCAGAGCCTTGTCCAATCAAGTTTCAAAAATGTGGAAGAATGGAAATGCCACAGCCTCTTTTGGGTAGTTTATTGCAGTGTTTAACCACTCTCATGGAGGATCAGGTCTCCTTAGATCCAGGTGGATACTTTCACACTGCAGCTGGTGATCCTAGATTTTTCACTACACACCTCTGGGAGTTGTTTGAGTCCTTTTTCTCTGTGCCTTCTCCCTAACAGCCTCCTCTTCTCCAAGCTAATCAAGCCTCATGTCCCAGGAGTGTTCATCTGTCTTTGCTGTAGCATTTCTTCAGCCCATATCTCCAGTTTGCTGAAGTCCTGAATGATGGTGCTGCTCTCCAGCATGTCAGACACTCCTCCTGTTTCAATACCATCCAAGAACCTGCCAAGGGGCCATTTCCCCATCATCCAGGTTGTTAATGAAGATATTAAAGAGTGCTGGTCCTACAAGCAATCCCTGACAGAAGCTGCTAGTAACCTACTGCTGGTTAGGCTTCAAGCCTTTGACAACTGCCCTTTGATGACCACCATGAACTCCACCCAGCTTTTGATCTACCTTAGAGCCACCAACTCAACCCACAATTCCCAAGGCTGGCCACTAGGATGCTATGGGAACCTGTGTCAAAAGCCTTGGTAAGTATAAAATGTACACCACCCACCTCTCCTCGCTGTCCATAAAACCCATCCACCATCCCACCGCAAAAGGAAAAGGGGTACAAGCCGTCCTCAAAAAATACATTCTGTCTATTCCAAATCACTTATTGTCCATCATTTTGCCTGGAAATAGGCTTTATAGCTACTTGCTCTTCAACCTTCCCAGAGGCTGTAAAAAGGCTGACCAGGCAGTAACTCTCTGGATCTTCCTTGCCCTTTTAAAAGACGGGTGTAACACTTCTTCCAACCATCACGAACCTCCCTAGATGTTAGATAATGGGTCTACAATACCAGCCAGCTCCCTTGACACACTCCACGCATCCCATTTGGAGCCACGGACTTACAAATGTCCACTGTATGGAAATGGTCTTCAGCTCCCTCTTCCTTGATGATGGAGAGCACTTCTTCCCCAGGTTCTGCCTCTAGATACGGGAAACTGGGTGCCTGGTGGTTAACCTTGCCAGCAGACCAAGACGAAGATTGATGTTTTCTGTGTCCTCCTCCATTAGGATAAGTGTCCCATTCATCGTGTCCCTGAGCCATCCTTTAGTACCAACGTACCTACAGAAACCCTTCTTCATGCCTTGCATGTCCCTTACCAGGTTCAAATCCAGCTGAGGTCCGACCTCCCTAGTTCAATCCTGTAGCCTGACCTAACAGCCAAATATTTTCAGGCTGCCACATTTGCTCTTTTTCCTTGCATCTCCTCTTCTCCAGCCCAGGGATGTTCCACAGAAAGACATCAGCATCACTGTAAGGCCACTTGGCAAAAGAAGTTAGGAACTTGGAACAGAGAGGGAAAAATCACAGGTCTCGATGGGTTTAGCCAAAGGAGAGAGTTCAGTAAAGGCAGAGCTGCTGCAGAGTGCTGTCTCACCACCCCCTGGCAGCTACATGGGCTCTGCCTACATACCCCAAATATGTTGTACGCAGCCACCAAAGCTGGGAAAAACTCATTGCAAACGTAGGGAGCTTCTGCTCCGGCCCAGGTCTTGTGGGATGTGGGGAAGCCCCGTACAAACCGAGACAGATGGAGAACGTGGGAAAACCCTGCAGTCTCTCCCTCTCTGTCCCTATTCTGCTCCTTTCCTCTCTGCAAACACTGACTCACCGCTGCTTCTCATGGTGCATACACATGTCCTTCTCCCCGCACTCCCTTACTCATTCCTGCTACTCCCACTGGGGCCACCTCGGCATCTCCAGCAGCAGCAGAGCTTCTGGATCGAAAGAGAGCGTTAAAAGCCCCTAGAGAGCTCACTAATGACCGCTAAATCAATCCTTGGCCTCAACAGGCAGGCAGAGAAAAAAGCTCACGGGGCTCTCTCTTGGTGATACGGCATTTGGGAAGTGCTGCCAGTGAGGAAGGTCTGCAGGGTCCCACGTGCTGGCAGCAGCTGGAAGGGTTGTTCAATAGCAGCATCGATCCCCATGCCGTGCGAAGGGCACTCTGACTCCAGAGGCTGTTGAACCGCTGTTTCCATCTCGTCCAGGGATGGAAAAGCCACTGGAGTTCTTCTGAAGCATCACCAGGTCAAGGAGATGCTTGAAGGAATGGTACAGAGCTAATTTGAAACACAGTACCAAGTCTTTTCACCCACTCTGATCCATGAGCAGTTCTTCTTCTCCACATATTTTTCATTTTCAATCAGCTTTTGAGTGGGAAGATCTTGTTTTTCTCTGATCTCCCCTCTTTCCCACGCAGGTGGTGGTGAACATGGTCCCCATGTAGATCATGGCTCCAGCTGTGACCTAGGACAACCACTGCCAGGAGGTACTGAGGTCACCCCACTCCTATGTCCTAAGTATCACTGACCCCTCTGCCACAGCTGCTGATAAAGCCAGAAATTTCCCACCTGTAGCAGCTATTTCGCAGCCATCTGGCTACTGAAAACTGGAGCGAGGCCACCAACAGGCCACCAGCAGCCATCAGACAGAAACGAGAGTGAAGGGAGGCCGTGCCAAGCTGGCCGCATCCAAGTGAGGGCTTGCAGCAAGAAGCTCATGCCGGTTACGCCGATGGCTGAGTAGGTGTCACTAAAAAACATCTTTTAGTGGGGGTTTTGAGTGGGACACAGGGGGCAAATTCATTTCCTCTCTGATCCCGAAGTGGGGATTGCCTCCCTTTTACTCTGCCCTGGATCCTGATCCTTTACCATGTTCCTTTTCCCTTTTATTTTTTTTCCCTTTCTTTCTTTCTGCTTCCTATGTATAAACAAATCCTAGCTGGGCAAAATTCTGGGAAAGTCTCCAGACTGTCAGCCTCAGTGAGCCTATTCATCACAAGAGGTTCATGCTCAAGCTGAGCCCATGTATGCCTGCTCCAGATGCCTTTGTCCAGAGCTCTGAATGGGAAATTTCCTGGCCAAAGCTCCCCAGAAGAGCTGAGCTCTGCTGACTACACTCCACAGAAGACCAAGCAGACAGGGCACGAGGATTTTCTCCCCTGCACAGAATAAAATAAGACTGCTTTGATACATCTGCCGTATTTTAGCAGCTGGAGTAATACTGACAATCCCACTTCTAAGCAATCCCCCAGCTGTTGTCTGGCAGACTGTCTAACATCTAGGGCAAAATGAAGTGAAAGCCAGGAGAATGTTGGATATGATGTTCCTGAGACCATTATTAGAACAGCACATTCATGTCCAGCAGCTATGCCTAAAATAAAAAGGACACACAGAGTGCTCAGGGCTCAGCCACGGGAATGCTGTGAAGTTTAGAGAACATGAAAACATGATCTACAGATAAGAAATGAAACAAACTCAGCGCACCAAAGAGAAATTTTAGAGATCACTTGATCATGCTTTACAAATATTTACACAAAGAGACTGAGGATAGAGAGCCCTTTAATCAAGATATATCTGGTCTCAGGATCACTTGGAAATGCACGTCCATCCCTTGCTAAATCAGAAATGCCCTTTCAAGCCCCCCCATAAACATGTCCCCCCGTTCGTGCTGAACTTGATCGTTTTGGGCATGGGTATAACGCCAAGGCTGCAATTAGATATTAAAAAGGGAAGGCAATTAACTTTCCTGGCCTCAATAACAGTAAATATTGAGGGGCAGGCTCCTGGAAGAAAACATAGCTTGTTACTCAAAATGACTCCATCATGCTCCAAACTGATTCAACCTCATGTCTGAACTTAGGTTTCAGATCCTGAACTCAGTTCTAAGAGGAAAGAGAGGGTGAGGCACCAACACCTGCTCTTCACTCCTCTCTCCTAACTTTCCACTTGATCCTGACACCAGTGACACCAGTAAGTCACCTACCAGCGCTGCCCAGTGCTGCCCAGCCTGAGGAAAAGCAGGAGAGGACAAGGACTTGAGCAGATCCAATGATACCCCAGGCACGGAAAAACCTGAGTTCTAGATAAACGTTATCATGATCAGTCTTCAGCTCAGAGCACTCACCATAATTAACCAGCCACTATGCACTGTCACAGTATTAACAAAAAGGTGCATTTTTTGCTCATTTTTTACTCCCTTCTCTCTTTCCTCTAACAACGGGTAGAAAAAGTTATCTCAGTTCATAACTCGAACATGAATTGACCCTTTCCTCCCTACTTAGAGGTGTCATTGGACAAGGTAAGAGCCTCGGACTAATCCCTTCTCACAAAGGGTCACAAGCAGTGTATTCCCTGTAGCCACTCCATTTCAATTTCGGGGGTGCTCACCTGGTTCTCATTTTCCTTATTTTGTTTATTTTAGAGTCAAGAAGCTCTCAACATGATAGTTTGGGAAAGGCAAGGGTCTCCATAATAAGCTCAGCCCTTGTGTGATGCAGTGCATGGGGAGAATCTATGCAAATCTTGGGTTCTTGTGCTCGCAAGAGTCCACCAGCACGTATCTTACAGGGGCATGGGCCAACGTGGACCTTTGTTTGATACATCTCAACCACAAAATCAAGCCAGCCTCTATAATCGATGCAATTTAAGGTTGCACCTGACCTGCTTATAGGTGTACAGGAGCTCCCTGAAATGGGATGTAGTGAGGAATCCCAGCTGAAGCTAAAGGCAGGACATAACTACGAGATTGGAGAATTATTTAGCCTGCTAGATTTAACATCCTTAAGCTCCTGAAAAGTGCTGTCAGTTCTTCAGACCAGACTTTTTCGTAACGGATCATGGATGTTTTGGTGGTACCAAAGACCAGTCCACGATGCCTTGAAGCAACCTGTTTGCCAGGAGGCAGCATGTGTCCACCTCTCTGCAAACGAGGTTTCCTGGGGTGTATAAAGGCATCAGAAACAGCACACAGCTTTTGAAAATGAACAGTGAGACTACATGGGGTCGTGGCACTCATTTCACTGTGCTAATTTCTCTGGCACGAAAAGCAAAGAGTGATGCCAACTAAGCCACCGTGATGACTTTTTGCTGGACCCACTCATTACAAAGGGGCTCTTCCTCAGTCACCAGGCACCCAAAACAGGACAGAAAAACCTCCAGGATCCTTGTAGGTCAAGAGACAGTTACTTTCCCCAACAAGAAGAGAAGAAGAGAATGAAAGCCATACCTCCAAACAGAGACATAAATGATAATCAACAGCAAAAGTGTCAGCGAAGATACTCCACAGCCTACAATTAACGTGACAGAAGGGACCAGCACCTTTTCCATGTTCTGAAAGAGAGAAAGTAAGACATTAAAACAAAAACTAATAAAAATAAATGAATAAAAATAATTAAAAAAAAAAGATGCTGAGAAGATGCTAACAGCTCGATTTCACAGCAAGGACTTTCCTCCTAATTGTCTGCAACTCACCTGACCTTCACATTGCACTACCTACACAAATAAAGAGGAGAGAGGACCAGGATCTATTTTTGGGTGACCCAACCTTTGTTTGAACCCGATTCTGCTCCCACATGCACCGGTGTTAAGTCTGAAGTGACATCTGATATCTGTAGCCAGGGAGGGGTGTAAAAGCACAGGTTACAAGAGGAGGATTGGGCCCTTTGTATCCAGTGCAAAGATAATTAATGAGGCAGAAGCAGGAGGCACTGCCCACACTCGAACGATTACAAATGAGCTCTTCTGGGAACGGCTGATGCTGAAGCTTGGAGGATGAAAAGAAGGTGAAAATCTTCCACTGACTACAAACATCCATCTGGCAAGGGAGGAGAGGAGGAAAGGAAAGGAAAAACACGCTGTCTACTCCCCCCAGAGACCCAGCATCCAGTCACACCATCCATCACTTCACCACCCTTACACTACCAGGCATCTCTTAGTGTGCAGGGGACTTCTGAAAATGCTGCTGTGCAACAGTTCTCCTTCTCTGTCTGAACACAAAGGATCTGCTGCCATCAGTCCTTGCAACATCAAAAACAAATATACAGGTGCTGTAATTCTCCTAACCTAGTTCTCTGAACCCCTGGCACATTTCTCATCTCCACACCAGTGATTTCTGCTGGCATGGAGGTGGAAGAACAGAGCCCCACCATGCAGCACGGGACCCTCTAAGTGAAGCGTTTTGCAGAGGTGTGGGAGCACAAACAAGATTGGCTCCGTACCAAGCCCTATTACTATGGCCAGGGAGATGAGATGGTTTCTGACATAGCAAAGGATTGGGATCCGAGCTAAATTATCCCAGCGGTTTGAAGGGTTTGAGAAGATCTTCCTCACTTGCTTATTTCACTTAAGGCCACCTCTTGCATTTTGCATCTCGCTGGGGGGAATTAATGAGGAACAAAGCTTTCAGCACCCTGCTGGTGAAACCCATGGGAGCTATGGGAAGGCTGGCACAAGAGCTTAAGGGATCTGAGGCAAAACTGAGTGATGAATTCAGAAGTTTGAACACCCAGCTGGGCATGTGTACCCAAAGGAGTACGGGCTGGTTGCAGGATTTTCACTTAGAGCTGATGGGGTACAGATGACTGCAGACTGGAAGCCAAGTGTGATGCTACCTCTCTGCAATATTCACACCCCACTGATCCTCTTAGCCCTGAAACATCACCTTACCAGGACCGTACAGCCTCCCTGAGCTTCCTTTGAGAAATGGGAGGCTTGGGACTCTCTGAATCAACTGCTATTGGATACAGACCGAGGTTCTGGATGCTGAGCCTAATTCAGTTGGCTGAAATTATGGGATTGGATGTAAGACAATGCCTTAATCCCTCTAATTATGAGCAATTGTGCATGAACAGCAAGAACATGGCGCAGAGCCTCCCCAGTCCATCCAGCAAGGACCTGCATCTTCTCCCACCTAGAGCTTCCTGAAAAGGCTTCAGTTCACATACTGAGTTTTCCTCTTATTTGGATCACTATGATTTGGATCGCTGAGATTTTTACCATCGACTGCTGGGACTCTATTCCCACTGTGGGAATTTACTCCTGCCAAATATTTGTGGAAAGTTAGAAGCAGGGTTTTTGAGAATTAGCTAAACACTGAGAGAAAGACATCTCAATGAAAATATGAATGCTTCCACTTATTTTCCATCAAAAAAGTTGAAAGTAGACACCTTCCAGATGGTTCGAGTGCTGAAATATTGTGTCCTGCTCCTTACAAATTGATGTGTGGAAGGGACCTTCTTTGGGAACTGAAGTCTGTGATTTAGTCAGGATATGGGAGAGAAATGCAATCCCTAGCACAAAGCCACAGCTTCTCTCTATGCCACCTCTACCTTGTTTCGCCCTGCAGAAGCCCAGCCCTGCCTCAAAGATATAGGACTGCAAAAAATGGGAAGAGCTCTTCAGACATGGACTGGGCTCTGCTCAAGCTCCCTCCCAACCCCTTTCCTCTCCCTGCCCCTCCCTTTCAGCAACACGAGTTCACATCACACGACCAGTGGCCTGGGATGAGCATTGATTGTGACATTTGATTTAAGTAGGTCTTGTTTCACTGGCTTTTCATGGGCAACTGGATAAAAGTCAGGGAGGAGCTCCATTAAAGCAAAAAAACTCAACAGATAACTCATTTCTAAGCAATCTGAGAGCACCACAAGAAAAAGAGTTTGGATTTTAACAATGAGCAGACTTTGTCCCCATATTCACAACTCAATAACCCTAATTCTTTTCCACATCCTCTCCGACTTCCTCCAGCCCCAAAAACCTCAGGTTCTTTCCCCAATTGGAAGTCGGGCTGGTTGGTAATAGCTGGTGTCTTCCTCCCTCTAGAAGACCCCAATATTCTCCTTTCTTTATCCTTTTGCCAATTTATCCTTTTATCCATAAGACCCCCAGGCACCAGAGGGACTCTTCCCAAGGAGATGCCATGACCCTCATCCCTTCTCCCCACAGACCAGGGATGGTTGGTCCGGCCCTGTTGGCATCACAACGATGGGTAATTATAAAAAATACTGGCTGCAATAAGAGCAGGAACACACTTTTTGGAGAAAAGTAGGTTCTAAAGGCTCAGGCCCATGTAGCTTAGGATCCTGCTTTTTTTTGTTTTTGTTTTTGTTTTTTTTGTTTTTTTGTTTTTTTGTTTTTCTGTCTTCCCCATCTTTCTTTCCCCCTCCTACACTCCTTCCCTTTGGCAAATGAAGCATTGTTTGTTTTATTTCTCCTGACTAATTAAATCCCCTGACAGAAGGTGGTTGGATGCTGGAGGATCTGAGGCAAGCAAGGAAAAATTTCTTCGGAGGAGGAAGAGGGGAAACCAAAAGATTGGTTTAAAAGGAAATAGCAATACCACCAAAATGACAGCAAGGCGCTCTACAGGAGCTCCCCAACACTGAAGTCAAGAGGGAAATTGGTTCCTTGAGAAGGCCAGGCAAGGAATGGGGTGTCACCTTGTCCTGCCTGGGCTGTAGATGGCACCAAGTGGCCCATCTCTGCCTCTTCTCCATCCCCTGTCTGCTGCCGGTGGCCTTGGGGAGCCTCCCAAAATGCAGGTGGGACTATGCCCCCTGTGGGCTGAAGGAAGACCTTTGCCTGGGCACAGCAAGACAGAGCTGGTGGTTATGAGTCGCAAGGGCCACCGTCCTGTCATCAGGCATGACAAGGGAGGAGAGGAGCAATCAATGACATCAGCGAGGATGGAAATAATGAGCACCACTGCCCAGGGCTGCTGGCTGCCCGGCTACAGCATCACCCTGCCTAGCAGGGCACAAGGACGCTCCTCTTCTTGACAATTTCCCTTGGCTTCCATCTTCTCTTCCCTTTCCTTCTCTTCATTTCTCCTTGTCATTTTATTTATTTATTTTAACCTTCTCTCCTTTGTCTTCCTTTTCCCCTTACTTTGGCCATTTTCCATGAAACATTCCTGCCTTTTCTTCTCGCTCTCACTGCTTCTCCCTGGCTCTCCCCTGTTTGCATTCTCTCCATGTCTCCCTTTCCATCTCTTAGTTTCTGCATAACACCATGAAAAGTGACTTCATCTGAGCTGTGCCTGTTCCATTACCCTGCCCTGGCTCCAGGGTCAAAGAGGCTCCAATTAGAACAAAGTCAAAAATGGTATTTCTTAATGCCATGCTGTTTGCCTGAGACCTTACAAGCAAGCTGTTCTTTTCGCTTTTCCCATCTTTGATACCGAGCAAGGCTGAACGAAATCTTTACAGGCACAACAGCCTACTAATAAAATCACTGAAAAAAATAAACCATTTGTTTTTCTTCCAAATCAGCTGCAGACATGTGAGAATGGAGTTTGGGGCTTTATTTTTGCAGATGTGTTTTGCTGCTCAGAATGGTTGCCTCGAGCCTGACTTCTTGCACATTTTACATGAAAGCCTCATGAAATAAGAGAATTACAGAAGTACTGCTTGCAAGGGACATCTGGAGGTATCTAATCCAACTTATTGCTTGGAGCAGGACTCAGACTAACATTGGGTGAGGCTGGCTTTGTCTAGATGATGCTGGGAAACCCTCAAAGACCGAAAGCCCCAGCACACTTCTGTTGACCATGCCAAGACTGTGCCACTCTTCCAGGGAAACATTTTTTCCTAATACCCCGCATTAATCTTACAGGCTATAGCTTGTGGCTCTTTTTCCTTGCTATATAATCAGGCACAAGCCAGAGGAGCTCGGTTTCATGAATTTTGCCATGGTACCCAGAGGCTGTGAGCAGAGTGCCCTTCACCTTCCTCTTCACAAGACCAACTTCTCCCTCTCAAGTCATGAGCAGTGAGACTCGTTCAACTCTTCTATGAACAGACTGGACCCGATGGCATGCTGCACTCCAAAAACTGCTCGGAAACCTCTTCACTGTGCCAACAGACTAAAGGCTTTTCTCAGTTCCCCAGCAGTTTTTAAAGCCACTTTCTATTGATTTTGTTGCTGGTCGGACAACTCTTTTCAAAGCAGCGAGCTATCAAAGAGGTGGTAAAATTGCTGGAAAATACTGCTTTTACCAGTACTCATGAAAGCGAAGTGCTTTCTGAACAAGGGGGTGTATGTCAGTGCTGTAAGAAAACAACCTAGGAGGGGTGAATGACCAGGAGGGGGATGCACTCTTGTCATCGGTGAAAAAAAATCCTGAAAATGTTTTTATCCCCACTTAGATTCTGGGTTTTTCATTCAGGCTCCGGCTCTTTGGGTTCTCCTGGCAGCATGCAGGCAACAAAAGCAGGTGTAAAGCTACGAGGAAGGTATAAAGCAATGCATCTCTGGTGCTGTCTCCAGCTCCTGCTGCCCACCAGCCAAGCAATGCTCACACCCAGGCTCCCGACCAGCTGCGGGTCAAAAGG